CCAGCGACTTAAGACTGGTTTTGTGGTCCAGGGTCACATATATATATATATATATATATATATATACACACATTCAGTCTCCTCCACTGACCATCGTAAGAAAGAAAGTGAAATACTAGGTATGGTAAGATACTAGGTATGGTAACATTCACCGATTCGCATCGGTGCATTGGCATAAAAGTTCACGATGTGATGCATCGATTTAAAAAAGTGTGCATTGGATACAAGTTGGCATTTGTATCATGATGCATTGTTTCTAACATATTTGCCTCTGTAAAAAACGTTTTATTTATATATAATTATTAGTTGATGCACTATACTTTTATGATTTATTATTTTGTGACCAATATTTTATACGTAGATTGATTTCTCCGTTCTAAACTGTTTCTCAAGTGCTGCTACGTGAATATGACGTAACACAACACTACGGAGACCGAGGTGTTAGGAGTCAGAAGGCTCTTAAGTTAATTTATGATCGAATTGAAATTGGATCGTATTGCATTGTAATAGGGGTGAATCGTATTGCATTGCACCAGTAGCTGCTTCATATGTATCTTTAAGGTATCGTAACGTTGGTTATGCATTGAGATGCGTATTGCATCGACCTCAGTTATGGAGATGCAGGTTTTATACTGTTTACTAGGTATGCATTTGCTGACCTATTTGAAAACTTCAAACAGCATTTATGTGTAAATGAGTAAGCATTAAAAGCAAATAATTTCCAACTTTAAGAAAAAAAAAAAGTCTTTTTGGCTTACCTATAGTTGACAGGCCAGCGGACCATCCACATGCGGTGGTAGGACAGGGAGGTGACGGAGAAGCAGGTGACCAGGGTAAGGGTGTAGAAGGTGGAGACAAACACCTTGCAGAGTCCTTCGTTCCACTCATAGTTGGAGTGCTGTCGCCGCAGCTGAATGACGCAATACATGGTGATAGGGATACCCATGTTGAGGATGTGCGTGCCAGCCAGGGTACAGATGAGGAATTCCAGAGGCTTCCACTTCTTCTGCTTGGCGCTCACACTCAGGATTCCCCAGGTGTTGGCCAGGATGGACACTCCCGAGCAGACCAGCCAGGCCAGTGCGTTAGTGCTGATGACCTCATCGTTCATGATGGAGCAGCCTGTGAGAGCTGGAGTGGGGTGGAATGGCAAAAGGTGTGGGAGCAGCCGCGGGCAGAGGCAGGTGCCAGGCCCGAACAGGCATTCCTACAGGGACGGGCAGTCCTTCCTCCGGATGTGCTGAGAGGACGGGGCGAGGGGCACAGCAGCGTGAGGGGGCAGTGGACTCGGGCAGAAGAGGAGCACACACACTGAGAGCCAGTCCATTGCCGTAATAATCCTGAAACAGAAAGGAAATGACAGATCTTGAAAAGACAGATACGACAAGAAGAGACATTGGAAGACATAAAGTGCTTGTAGTTCTAGGAACTCGCCAGCAGAGTGGTTCCTAGAGAACCAATTTCTCCCTCGGGCCGTTTTCCTGAAGCGGCCGACAGCGACGTCTTTATTCACGGCATTTACAAATATCAACAACCGGTGAATGGAGGACGCCGCGTTCGGAGCTGTTTTTGTTTTGTGTCATGGGTTTCATGATAACAGAGATGGAATGTAAACGTACAGTTAAACAGTTGAAAGAGCATGAAAATCTGACTAAATCTCCTATGACATCTTGTAAATCATTGAGGCTGAGAAAAGAATACAACGCTGCAGACAACAGGTAAATGCTATTATTATAGCTGTTTTCCATGTTCATGGAGTAAATATTTTTACATGGCTTTTTAAAAATGGCAGGTAGCTGGTGTTTCGTATGTGTTTGGCCAATCAGTGTACACTTACGTCACTGGTAATTGCTATAGAACTGTTTTAGACCCTGCTCTGAAGTAAGAGCTAATTTAGTTCCCCCAAATGGAGTTCCTAGAACTAAATACGTTCCTAGTTCCTGTGGTGCGAACATGCCAAAAAGCGGAAACTTCTGCTAATAGTTCTAGGAACTATGAAAAAGTTCCTCCGGTGCGAAAGCTCCTATAGAGTGGCTAGAATACTGATATTAAATCCTACACTTCCTACACCTACTGTCAACTGGAATTCCATGACTTTTCCAGTTATTTACGGCTTTTTCAATTCCTTCATATACAGGTTGCTGGGCTGGATTGCCATTTGTATTTCAGTAACCCAGTGGTTCTCAATCCTGGCACCCCACCGCTCTGCACATTTTGTATGTCTCTCTTATCTAACACACCTGATTCAGATCATCAGATTAGAGAGACATACTCTCAGAATGAACTCAAATAAAACACTGCATTCTGAATACTGACAAAATAGCTTTTGGTCCCGCTTTATATTAGGTGGCTTTAACTACTATGAACTTACATTTAAAATAATAATTTCATACAATGCACTTATTGTGTACATACTTGTTTTTACATTGTACTTAAATAAAAAAAAGTACATGCATGTAATTACATCTGTAATTAATTATATTTATAATTACTCTGTTGACCCATCCCTTACACCTTAACCCACCCTTAACCTACCCATACCCTCAAATCTGTCCTTAATCTTACCTGCATCCCGCCTCAATAGCAGCAAAAGTTTTTTGCAAAACAATATGAAAACAATAAGTACATTATTTTTTTGATGTAAGTACATAGTAGTTAAGGCCACCTAATAGAAAGTGGGACAGAGTTTTTCAACTTTATGCACTTGGGGCAGTGACAATTTTATGAGCCATGTTTTATACATAAAGAAGTTGGTTTACATCACCATAAAATCATAAAAGTTATGCGTTTGTCATGCTTTCCACAATGGCTCAAGGAGGAGACACAACTCAAGCTCTAATAATCCCCCTATAGGTCTGCTACATGGGGATGAGGGCCAATGGAGGGACACTGTCCCTAAACTCTTAGCTCCATCCCTAATCAAACACACCTAAAAAAAAACAAACAAACTCTTCATGATTACTTGAAAATTGCAGGCAGGTGTGTTTGATTAGGAATGGCACTAATAATCTCTGAAGGACAGTGGCCCTCCAGGGCCGAAGTTGCCATCCCGATAATGAGGTGGAGTTGGGAAGGTGGAGGGAAGCCAGATCAACTAACACCAGAGTAAAGTAAGCAGCTGCTTTTATGCTTTGATGGTTTATTATAAGATTAGATGGGCTTAGTCCTTAAACTTCATTAAATAGTATTTCTGACAAATATGTGTAAATGGTGTGCATCGGTAAGTCAAATCCTGTTCCTAGAGACCTAGCATCCTGCAGTGCAGTTCCAATCTTTCTTCTAACACACATCTTTGTAATGATCAGGAGTTCCTGAAAATCTTAATTAGCCAGTTCAGGTGTATTTGATTAGGGTTTGAGCTGGTAGAAGGTAGATCTCCTGCTCCACTGAAGCATGGCCACTATTTACCAACTCTAATGCCACATTTGCAACTGCGGTTTAAAATGATAGCTTTGATACTATTCACAATATTGCAAACATCATGAACATATTGAATATGTAATATATCACCTAGCCCCGATTACAGTTTTTTTTTTTCAACTGCTTACACACAAAATCTTTACTTGTCACACAATTTCTGAAAGCTGACACTCAAACAGCAGAACCACACACCAAATCTGCAAAACCATACACTAATTCTCGGCCTTTGACTCAGTTTTCAATTTCATAAAACACTTTTTGCAAAACACAACACACAATTCTCTATATAACACACAAAAAATCGAACAGGAATGAATATTATGGCAAAGGTGTTTGCAAATGTTTGCTTTTGAGATGTGGTTGTGATATTTTGAATGCAGTGCTTCATTTTGCAAGAGATGTGAGGCATCTTGCATTTTGTGCGTGCAATTCTTGGATTTGTGTGTAAAGTTTTGAAAAAAAGAGGCAAAGTTCTGAAAACATGTATGAGCAGTTAAAAAAAAAACGGTAATAGGATACCCGGCTTCAGTATGTCTATATAAGATTGCTTTGTGCATAAAAATGAGACCTTTATTATTACCTTTTTTATTGCTTACACTAAAATTAGGATCAGGTCTACCAAATTCATGCAGATCGGGCAATCAATCAATCAAACAAACAAATAAATAAAAAAACATTAAGGGTGTGCTTCATTAGGTAAATAAAAAAAATACTCTTTGATGAAATGTTTCTGATGTCTATGGGAGTGGCAACGGTTCAAAATAATTTCCAAGCAATTTGTAGTGAATCACAGCACTGTTTGTAATCAGCAGCAAATGATGAACATTTCAAACCTCTGACAATCTATCCAGGACCACTGAAGTTTGCCCAAGAGCATAGACATGAAGATGTTGTAAGACACCCTAAGAAGCCCACACTGTAAAAAAAAACTGCCAGGAATTTACAGGATTAAAGAGTATTATTATACAATAAATTACTGTACTCAGAAATGCACTGTGAAATCAATGCATGCTGTATATTCATTCTATATTCATATTTAAATTTCTGATCTAGTCATGTCAGAAGTGTGACAAAAAAAACATTTGCCAAAATGATCATAAGCTAGAATATGACATAAGCTTAATAATAAGTTTAACTAAAAACAACAAGAATTAAAAAAAAGAAAAAAAACTCTACAGCATGATATATTCATGCTGCACTGCATGCTGGGTGCTTTCATAGTACAAATGCACTGTAAAAACACAGTATGATGCTGTGTTTACAAGCAATTTTTGAGAGTACAGTTAGATACAAGAGAAGTCCCACTGTGAACTTACTGTGAAAGTAACCTGGAATATACTGTAATTTTACACTAAAATTTATTATTAATTAATTAATTCTGGTGTATGCGATTAGGGTTTGAGCTGAATTTTGTTGGAAGGTGGATCTCCAAAAACAGGAAGAGAAGAAGATTCCAATCATATCAGTGGTCTAATAAATGCTGTTTTATTCTACATACATTATTCAGTCATTTCATTACGGACCAAAACTGTTGTAAATTATAACAAAAACATCACCTTAAACCACTTAAATTGCACAAGGTTGCATGCAAACTTAGTTTGCCTGCTACACGGAAGATTGGCCAATATTCACCTTATCACATATCTGACATGTGCCAAATATTTATCATTGTTATGTGCTGGAGTTATGTCATTTCCAAATCTCCAAAACAAAAACCTGGCTATGCATCGTGGTATACAAAAGAGCAATAAAGATATAAAGAAACAACGACCACTCCTTTCATGTTGTGAGATAATAAAATTAACATATGATCTCATTTATCCTGCAATCATCTGTTTCAAATTGCAAGACACCACAATAATTGATATGCAAATTACAGAAAACCAAGCCAGAATAAGAGTCAATCACACTGTCAGATTCTCATGAATAGACCCTGCATTTGAATAAGATAATAAAATAGGATAACATAGCACTTTTGTGTTATTCACAGATTTGTCCTTTCAAACAAATCTGATAAGCGTGTGTGTGTGTGTGTGTGTTAACACAGAAGCAGAGAGCATTAACATCTGAGCAGATTTTTTGCTGTTTGTTTTTGCCAAAGACACCTGACAAAACCAATATCATGCCAAAGTTTATTTATTGTGAAGGGTATATGGTAAACCAAATGCTGTTTTGTGTCTTTTTCAAGTTTTTGTCATTGAAGGCTTGCTACTGTAGACCATTTCTTAGACTGGTGTGTAACACATAGCAGAACGTTGGCCATCTGTGGACTCAGATTGAATTAAAAATCGCTCAATGTTTAATTTCTTTTTCAATCAGAGGAACCTAGTTTTTTCACACAGTAAAAATCTAGGTAAAAATTATTTAGCTAGTGTTTTTTTTTACACCCAGTTCCAGTTAACAGGATGACTTCAATATGTCTATAATACAATTCCATTGTGCTCAAAAAGGAGACCTTTATTATTACTTAAAATGCCAAAAATTTTGATCAGGTCTACCAAATACCATTCAGAGCAAAACATTAAAAAAGTGTGTTGTGTAAATAAATAAAAAAGTTTCTCAGATGAAAGGTTTCTTATGTCCATCATTGTGCGTTTTAAAACCATTTCCATGAATCACACCATTGTTTGAAAGCATCAAAAAATGAAGAACATTTTAAACCACTGGCAATCTATCCAGGACCACAAAATTTTGCCCATGAGCATAGAGATAAAGATGTTGTAACACAACTCTAAGAAGCCTAGGATAACAACAAGACTTAGATGCACATCTTGCCTCAGTCAATGTCAAAGTGCAGGAGTCAACTATCCAAAAGAGACCACACAGCTTCACCCTATATGTGAGGTTCACTGCTGTCGAAGGGGAATTCAAGATGAGATTTATCAACAGTGCAGATGCTAAGATGGAGTCTGTATATAGT